CGCGCCTCGCAGCGCATTACATTACACTTGTAGTTGTTCACAATAAATTGTTAAGCAGAAAGAAACAACAAAACATTTCAATCAACATCGTTAAAAATAAACAATCAAAAATAATTCAAACAATTTTTTTCTCAAGCATTAATCTTTCTTTGTGGAAAAAGTTTTTACGTCAGTAATACATGTAAGCAAGTACATGCAAGAGATTTTTTGCCCTTTATTTCTACTATTTTGAGCAGAAGAAAGCTCGTGTCAAACGTACCAAAGCTCTTTCATGCTATTAATATTACGTTCAAGAATTTGTAAGGAAAATGCAGCTGTTTGTAATATTTATTAAAAACAAAACGTATATTGCATGTGAAAAACAGCGTTTTAATATACCGCGTTCCGATTGGCTTTTCTAAAATGGCAATAGCGCAGTAATTTCGAGTCAAGCGGGTGCAGCAGACGTGTGCATTAACTATTAACGTGTTTATATGAAATCCTTTGCCGGTTGTTGTTTTGCTGCAATAACAAACGCGCGCGAGACGCGTTAGCGAGAACATATGTGCAATATGAAATTCCGCGTTTCTTTGACGTTGTTATCGTTTGTCAAAGATCCGTTCGAACATTTGCGAGAATGATACCATCAAGATTAAATTCCATAAGCCCGCGAGGCCAAATATTTGCGCGATTGCAAATCGCGCTGGTGGTTTGTGTGTTTAGTAATTGCCCACGAATATATATACACGCACGACTAGTTACATACACATTTTTTAGGGGAAAAAAAATACAGCAAAAAAACCAAATTTACGAAATCGACGTTTTGATACATTTGTGCAAAATCAGTTTTGCGCGCAAATTCAATTTTTTCTATAATTCTCGATGATATTTTTATAATCCTCGAATACGATAAAATCGCTTTTTATTAAACTCAATATTTTTTTCAAAATATCGGAGTGGTTGTTTGTAAGCTTAAATAATAGTATATGTATATATATGTGTGCCACATATTAACAGAAAAATATAGTTAACAAAAAAATATTTATAAATTTATATATTTATGTACGTTAATACATATTTTTTTTTAAATATCGCAGAAATATTTCAAGCTTTTTAAAAGAAATCTCGATAAATTTTCTCTTGCAATTAACGATCTGTGTATCGTGTCATATTGTATCGTCGAGATAATTCGGGAAATAATGAGCGACGTGGCGATATATAAAGATAAATTATCTCTGAGCTCGTAATTTCCGTGACGCGAGATTCGCGTAAAATAAAAAATTTAACAATGGCGGGATTTTGTGCCGCATCTAATAAAAGAAACGCGTTCTGCCAGGCGCGTCCTTTGACTTAGCGCGCGCGGATTCTGGCGGAGCAAGACAGTTTTCCGGGACGATAACCGTGATTTTCAGACACGGCCGTCTCTCGGCAAGCGTGAATCGAAGTCGGTTGAACGACCGGTAGACACCTTTTGATGTCGAATCACTCTTCCTCCCGCGTCACCTCCTTCGTCCCTTTACCCGCTCGCTCGCGGCAAACCTGCCTGCTGAAAGGTTTCCTAGGGCGCGCGGTGCGCGAACACACTCGGCTGCCGCATACACTTTATTCCCAACCCATCGTTCCGTCCCAGCGATTTCGAATTCCCGAACAAATTTGATCGTCGTCGTCGTCTAGTCGAGCTCGCATCTCTACGTGACGGGAAAATCGCGAGCTTGCTCGCGCGCGGAAAGCCACTTCTCTCTCTCTCTCTCTCTCTCTCTCTCTCTCCTCGCTCCATTCCTAGTATATAAACCCTTATCCAACTTCTCCCATCCTCCTGTTCTCCCCCTTCTCGTCTATATAGCACACGCGCTCTTCTATTCTCGTATTTTCCTACTTCTCGCGCTTCGTGGTTCTACTTTCGCACGCGCGATTGTGCCCTGACGAGTTTATGGCGGGTCCTCGGCGGAATCCCAAACGCGGCACGTACGCGAAGTTACCGACTCGAATGGGGCGAAAGAGCGAGACCGTCGAAAAGGCGCAAGAAATGACTTCGCGGTTCATTCAACGGCCAATCTCATAATATCAACGTAACTTTGAAGTCACTAATAGTGCTGATGACTTTTTCGTCGATGTTGAAACATGATCGTGAAGTTGCGTTGGTTTCATCCTCACAGAATGTTGTATATATATGCAAGTATACATATACAGATACTACATCTTTATAGTTATATATTTACGTACTTGAGGAAAAAAAATAAGTATGTAAAAATAACCAGTTACGAACTTCGTTGAAATTATGATCTTATCAAAACTTTTCATCGGAAACGGTCGTGTAAATTAATTAAGAGGATTACCCAATTAATTAAAACTTTGAAATCTAGAACTCGAAATCTGAAGTATGTTCCACTGTGTCGAGCATCCGATTGAAGATTGACGTTGCGTAGAATTCGCAAGCAGATTTCACACGCCACAGTGAGTAATTAGCGCGGCGCGTCCGCGGTGTTGATTAAATTTCACGCGCCAGAAGCAAATTCATAAATATCCGCAGCTGCGCCATTTCCGACAAAGGCGGCTGCTCACGACGACGTATAACAAAAGAAAATTAATGACTACAAAAGATTACTCTTTCCTGGACTCTCCGCGGCTGTCCGATGAAATATCATAAATCGCGGACTCGCTACGTCGGGGAAGTTTTCATAGCCGACCGCTTCCATCTCTCTTTCCATTTCTCTTTCTCACTCTTCGCGTCTCTCGATTCCTCCTTTCCGCGTCTCATTCTCATTACGAAGTTCCCGGTCATCAAATTTTATTAGCCCCCACTTCAGAGGCCGGTCCGCCTTACTTCTAACTCAATATCGTAGATTCGGTTTAACTACCCTCTTACCCTCCCAAGCGCGCACGCACACAAAGACGTATTCCATTCGCACACAAGAACTACGTGCATTGCCGTAGTTTTCTTTCTCTCTCTTTCTCTTTATTCTGTTCTCACTCTCTTTGCTCTCTTTCTCTTTCACAACCTAACACGCGCACTTTCCTCTCTTCGCATTCTTCCCGCCTCGCGTTCTCTAAGCACGGCGAGCGACTTTGAAAGCGGCAATAATTCCGTGCTCTACGGCCGAGAACTAATTTCTACCAGCTCTGACAGGGCGCTGCAACAGGAGCAGAGGGCAAGACAGAAGAAAAGACGAAGGGTGGCCTCACCTTCGAAGCTCTCTTTTTCCATCTCCATCTTTCTCTTTCTTTCTCGTTCCTCACGGACTGTTCGTTTTCTCGCCCTTTTATCGTCCGACAATGGTACGTCAGGGTGCAGCCACCTTGGTCCTACGTGGTCAAGGGTCGTAGCCAATAAACCCTGCCAGCAGGCTACCTAACCTACATGCCGCTCGAATCCGCAGACAGACACGATCAAGAAGGCCGAAGACAGAGAGAAAGAAAGACCTTGGGTTTCAGGAAAGGCTTTTCCGGCGCGAGGTTCGCGTCCTTTAATTGCAATGGCTGAAATTGAGACTAACAACTTTCTTTCTGGTGGTGTTTAAAAACCCGAACGACAACGTCGTGAGTCACGGACGTGATGCCTATCGTAACGGATCTGCGTTTTACCGCGTCGGAAGGACCGACAACAGAGCGCGGTCCGGAAATGCCGTCGGAAAACAAACAAGAGATAAACTACCGGCAATCAATGTGAAATTGAAGCTGTCAAGCGGTTCGCGAAATAGTGCGCGAAACGTATATTGCGTTTTTTTGAAAAATATTCATGTGTCACAAAATACGTGACACATTGGCTTCCTGACGAAGTTGATGGTATCTATATTTTATGACGTTTCTCCGCGTTGAAAAACATATTTTTTTATTAACGCGAACCTGAATGCAAGACAATTACGTCGAGGGAAGTTCTTCTTCCGGACGATGTGAGTTCTGCAGTTTCGAAAAGAATTGCGGCGCTTCATTTGACAACCTTGCGGTCGACGAAACTTAAGCTCATCAGAGTTACAAAGAAGTTAAACCATCGCGTAGTCCGAGAAATGCTTACATGGTAATCGGCGCGATAGCAATCTGAAGTTCGTTATCGCCGTGCATTACATCCGGCAGACGAGACTATTGCGGGCAATAAAAGTTACGAAAAGCTAGTAAGCTATAAAATTAAATCCGCAGCGAAGAGAGATAAAAAGGACGGAGAAACGCTCTCTCTCTCTCTCACTTTCGAAAGAGGTCGAGAAACTTTCCGCTCCATATCGCCCCAACAACTTGCTGGTCAACTTGCGGTTCAAATTCTAATTAATGATCTTTACGAACAGGAATTATCGTTTTCATTTCGGAAAATTCTATTTTGCGGTCTCTCTGCGTCGGAAATGCGCGAACTCTGTCTCGGTTACATCGTTCTGTAACGAGTTTCACGAGCCGTTCGCAAATCCGTTTAAAGAAATCAGGGAATCGGCAAATTGAATGATAAAGACGATACAGAAATTAATGGCGTTTTAGTTACGGGGCCGCGCGACATACTCGGCAATCGTGCAAAAGCCGCCTAATCCTCTTACGTCTTTGCGTTTTCCACGCGCTGACCGACTCTTTGAAAGGTCCGCCCTGTGTAAGCTCTTAAACCCATCTCGGACGTAGCAATTCCAGATCAATTTCGAGAAAATTCAATCGTGAAATATACAGCGCGGCGAGCGCCGACGAGCTGGTGAATCGACAGAAACAATGAGAACATGAGAAAGCTCAAATTTCTTGTTTCACGTAACGTCACGGAAATAAATTAAAACCGAACAGTTATTAATTCCCACTTTAAGCTCGCCAGCTTACTAATAACTAACTGCAAACTGTAATTATGGAATACAATGTCTTGTAATTATGTTTTCAAAATGTGTGTAAAATTGAAATGTCACACATTTTATGTGATGTATATATATAAAACATCTTAAAATCCTCGTATAATTAATTTTTTTCAACGCGTGATATATTCAACGCGGTACATCTTGAATTCTTCTTGAATTTGGTCAAAGAATCTACAAAAAAAAAAAATTTAAGAAACCACGACTTACCTTTTGTTGCGTTTGCGTGGGTTCAGTAGCGAGTAGCTGTTTTAAGGCCGTATGACTATTTATATTCGTCGTGGAGCTGGTTGGCGTGCTTGGTGTGCTCGGGTTGCTTCCGAGGGTGGTAGGCGTGTGAGGCCCGGTCGTGGGGCTGCTGGGACTGACGCTGTCGTTGATGTTGCTGCCGGCATGATGATTCTCCGTGTGCCTCCTCAGGCTCCTCGCGTCGCAGTAAGACTTGCCGCATCCTTCGGCCTTGCACTCGTACGGCTTCTTATTTCGATGCGTCAGCATGTGTCCGTTCCTGCAATCAGACAATCCATCGAATTTTGTCAGTTATAATAAATAATAACAAATCTTCTTTTTTTAATTATTTTTCATTAGAATACAAAAGCGAAAATTGTTTTCGAATCTCGTGTGGTTTTTTTAATTCTCTTATCAGGAAAAGAATATATTGGATGTACATCTCGTAAAAATAAAAATAATCAAAGCGTTATTTATTTTTTTGTTCTTTCGTTTCTATCAAAATGCCAGATAATCAAGAGAGAAATACACGGGATATATATATATATATACATGTATATAAAAAAAAGAAAACGATCTTCAACGTGATTACGTTACACGCAGTACGATGGCATTTACATGTCTGTTACAGCTAATTCCGTTCGAAATTCAACTTTTCAAACTAATCATCTCTCCCGACAGAGAATCTCCCTCTAGCATTTCAACCGGAATATAAATCTACTGTAACATTTCGGTCAGGAAATATCACTGAGACTGAAATATCCCTTCGCTATCCCTCGTCGTGTTCCCTATTCGAATTCCACTCGCATTCAGCATTAATCACAAGAACGTCTCGGGCGACACGCTATACATATACGTGGCGCTCGCGAATGCTCGATGGTCCCAGAAATCTGATCATACACTTGCTCTTTAGTGACTCGCCGGAATTATGTCGGCTCGATTACGTCGCCTATCTATATCGACGATCTGCCCCCGGCACACAGAAATTCCATATATGTATCGTCGCGCATGCGATTCTCCATCTCTCGTCTTATCCAGAAGAAGGGAGCATCTATAAACTCCATTTCTCCACAGTAGTGCCGCTCTTACACGTTCGCCGATCCGCCTAAAGACTTTATCCACTTCATTTGCCCGATATTCCGGCCGACACGTCGTCGACGACGGGGGCGAAACGTGCGTTTAGCGCGCTCCCGAGGACACTCTTCCCCGAGATATTCTGGGAATGAGACCTCTGGCTATTCTCTACCGTACGATAACCTAAGAGCGAAAAAGACGCGGCAATCCTTGAAGAAACTTGTGCAACAAGTTGCGCAATTTTACGACGTCAGATTGTGTTTCTCGATTCATGAGCTTCTATTGACGCGATACATAGTAAATGTGGTTCGTTGTTCGCCGTTTTCACTACTACTAGTGGGATTATCGATCGGCGAAATAAAATGCATTGCTGTGTTTTTGAATCAGGGTATGATTGCAATTGCGACGTGTCTCGCTCTTTTATTGTTTATCAATTTCACGTTATATATATGGAGAATATAGAAAAATGCAAAGTTTCTAGAAATTTCTTGGAAAAAATCTAACAACTAAATAAAATTATCTCTCGACGCGCGCTTATCGTCATATCAATTTTGTCAATAATCTAGCGTCCAAAATTAATCGCAACTCGCATCAGTTAATTACTAACACTTCTCTGCCACAACGTTATCTCTCGAATTCTCGAACATGTTAAATTTCTCCGCTACGCTCGAAAGGACCAGTCTCTCTCTCTCTCTCTCTCTCTCTNTCTCTCTCTCTCTCTCTCTCTCTCTCTCTCTCTCTCTCTCTCTCTCTCTCTCTCTCTCTCTCTCTCTCTCTCTCTCTCTCTCTCTCGTATCCTGAAACTTTAACGAGATTCCGAGCGTGGACATCCTTCGTCGGATCCTTCGCAGTGGAAACCGCCCGCAGTGGATTGCGCGAAGAAGTCGTACGAATACGGCGAGCTTCGATGGAAGGAATATCGTTTCCAGTAAATTTTCCAAGAGAGACGCGCGGGGAGCACTTCCATCCGGCGAAGTTTTATAGTCAATCGATATACGAACGGATTCTCTTAAATTCCGTCGGGTAAAGTTGCAGCCTTGGGGGAGGGTTTAATTTGTAAAAGCTAATTTGTCGAACTTTTAAGGTGACCTTCCCCGCTCCGACGAGTTTCCACAGCGTTCCCGGTAGATAATGAGAAACACCTGGGACGTGTCGACCGCACGTGCATCGTTCTTCGTTTTTGTTTTCGCGAAGAGAACGCGAGCGTAGAAACTGGCCGTAGAGCTTTTGTTCAAACCAGTTTCTGATATCAGCGGGCAAATTTTCTATCGAGTTATTTTTTGCACCGTAAATAAAATCAAATTTCACAAAATGTTCAAAGAATAAATGAGATAAACTCAATAGCTGCATCGAGAATTCGTAAAAATAAAAATAGCTGATTCTCGGTTAACTTGAATAAAAATTAAACAATAGTTACGTTACTATATATCGTTCGGACGTTTGATACGTAGTTTTGCAGTTATCACGCGCTCTCTCTTTTTAGTTCTCTCTCTCTCTCTTTCTCTCTTTGTGTGTCATGTTTTTATTTAATCGGTCTAAAAAACATTTCATCATAACGCAATAACAGTGCGGGCTTGAAAAAACAAACGAGAAAAAAAAAAATCCTTTAAATAAGAACTCGCGATTGCAGCAGCAACCGTGAACAGGTTTTTGATATTGCAACACGACTCGCATTTGATTCGCAGCTCATTGTCTTATGTCCTGACAATACGTGACAGTAGAAAGACAATTTTATTATTAATTACTACAAACTTATAAGCTTGAACTAACGATAGGAATTTCCATGAAACTTTAATTAAATCGCGCTAAGGGCCGCGACAACGAACACATGCTGAATTCTGTCTGAACGAACGGGGGATTAAATCAGCACTAATTATGAACTCTCGATTAGTTCTGCCCAGAGTCCTCGCTGTCCTAACGAGACTAGCAAAGAAGCCTTTTTGCTACTTTTCTTTTTATATTTCTTTCTTTAGTATCTCATTATCAAAGTTAAATCATATTTAATTCTTAATTAAGAAGCGAGCTAATCAGATTTCCAGACGCTGTGAATATGTTTATAAATTAGAGCATGTATACATCTACTATATGTATTTTGCGCCTACGGAGAAAAAGAAATTTTTGAATTCAGCATTTGGGTTTGGCTCACATTTCTTTAATTAAGATGTCAGAATCTTATATAAAATAATAGTTTTGTTACGGAAAAATTATATTGCCTCGCTGCAGAAAATCATGGATATTACTTTACACAAAATCAGACGTTATTATTTGAAATAGTATAGAAATTTTATTATATTGAAAATAAAAAAGGAATCTATTCGAGCTAGATACAGCAGAGAAAACGTCCCTTAACTCAACTGTTCCCTTGAGAAAACGGCATTAATTCCGATGATGAGTTAACTTTTTCTCTCGCTACTACCTCGCTACTGTATCCTTCGCCAGCTCTTTTCCTTTTGAAGTTTATGTTATTGTCAATCGGTAGATCAAGGGATTCCCAATAACTTAAGCTCTAATAAAAAAAATTTTAAAAGGTCACGAACTCCGATAAGCATTTTCTTCACGCTGCCACTACAAATTTGTTGTGGCTGTCGAATCTTGTTTTTCCCTATATAGATTTAAGAATTATTCGATAAAAGAAAAATTTGCTTTGGTTTTTTTTGTTCTTTTCGTCTCTCGTTCAAGTTCCGGTAACAGAATTTCCTGATATGACAAAGACCTCAAGAAAAGCAATTACCGAAAATATCGGAAGAACATTCTGAAAAATAAAGCTCTCAATGAAGCAACAGACGGAGAGGAGGGAGGGGGAAAAAATCTTTGTTCCTCGAAAGAGACTTTCTTCCTCCATTGCTCGCGTTGTCGTTTCTCCTTTTAGTTTCAACGTCCTCGCAAATCCCTTTCAGGCGAAGAAGAAGCGGCTGGTCTTCTAGTATATACTTTCACGTTCGAAGAAAAGCTCTCGAAGAGAATTCCTCTCAAGGTGTAAGCGCTTCCGTTTCTTATTTCGCGCGGCGGCGCTTCGACTCAGCAAAGGGACTACGTGGATTTACTTCGATAACAGAGATACACCGAGAGAAACGTACAATGGCGCTTTGTTCTGGAGCGAAGAAATCGACAGTGCGATCGTTTTTGAAGTCCGGTAGATTTTCGGCGATACGACAAAAGCACAAAGTGTCTTTTGTTTTTCGCTCAAGTTTGAAAATGCAGTTGCAGTCGGAGTCGACGATCTACGGATCTGTTGCTTTCAACGATGGACGCGCCCGACTTAAACTTCTCCATCGTTTTTCTTAAAAAAAAAAAAACATTTTTCTGCAAACTCTCCGTCGAAACTTTCCGCTTTCAATCATTTTTCTCAAAATCGGCGCATTACCTTTTAGAAATCAAGAAAAATCGTAAGGTAAGTAACGGTGATTCGGTGAGAGATCTACAGTGGGAAAACGAGAGAAAGGTGTTCGAGGCGATAGAGTTCCGCCAGTTTTCCACGAAAGAGAATGAAACGCGGCGAGAGACTTCGTGCCGACTTTTTCTCGTTCTCAATTAAGTTTGAAAGTCCATTCAAACGGTGAATGGAGCCGAAAGATCTCTTCTTTCGCTTATTCCGTGAAATCTTTGCCCGCGGCGGTATTATTGCACGGGCTGCCTATTATTGTTCCTTCACTTTTCTTGCCGCGTAACTCACGTGATATGATATATATATATATATATATATGTGTATACGAAAGCTTCTACCGGAATATATCGCATCCGAGCAATATATCGCGGCTACGTTAAATTGCCGATACGTGCTTTATCGGAGAACAGCGTAACGCTAAGCATTCCCTTTTCGCATCGACGATGCAAATCCGTCCGTCGAAAAAGCCAGTCCTTTCTCTCTCTTTCTCTTTTCTCCCTCCGTTTATCCAAAGTAAAGAATAAAGAACACGTCGACGTTTCTTCGATCTCGCGCGCGCACGCGCGCGCTATATTCGGAGCGGAGACAGGCGGCAGCTTCCGGCGAAAAACAGAAACTAGGTCAAAGACTTCGCGATTTTGTGCATGAGATAGTATCGCACGGTTCGTTTACTCGCGTCTCGGAATATATACGGCACAACCGGGGGAAATATCGTCCGAAGACGAGAGCGCTCGCTGAAATGGATACAAACAAACGTTTAACTTATCGTAACAAATAAACAAAGAGGGACCGTCCAGGTTTTGCAACAAGATAACAGAGAAAGAGAGAGAGAGAGAGACAATGGGAGCAGAAAAAAAATAACATCGCTTCGATATCGTAAATAAACGAAATAGACCGGGAGGTGGAACAGTTGGGGAGTTTTCGACTCGGGATTGATTGCGATTTGCGTTCGCCGTGGAAATGGTTAGATAGAGAAGAGCAGATCTCAATTGACGTCAAACTTAAGACAGCAATAAACTTAGCCGAGTTCAAATGAATATGTCTCTCTTTTTGATCTTTCTCATTCCGATTCAATGTTATTATCTTTTTTGTCGGAAGAAACACGAAGAAATACGTGAAAGATGGAAATAGACAAGAGCCGTTGACTCCCGCTCCGAGAGAAGCCGCAAACCCAATGTTTGCAATGAAATGTAAGTAATTCCTCGCATCCTTGCGCGGCGGCTCGCATTGAACACGACGACGACGAGTGTCCGAGTTCGGGAGGATAGAAGACATTGGGGAAACGGCGAAGAAAAGAAAAATACTGTCCGCGCGCGGAATGGAGCCTGCCGACCGTGGCGAATCCCGAGGGCGAGGCAGGCAGCGAAGGTTGAAAAGAGAGAGTGTGTGCAGCCGGATATAGAGGGTGGCCGGAGGATTTGGAGATCCGTCTTTCGAGAAAAATACGAAGTCGAACCTGGGCTGGGCATTCGAGCCGCGCGGGGACGAACAACACTACAAAGAGCACAAACCGAGCGGAGTCGCGCAGAGACCGACCTCTATTGATTCCGCGTTATTCCTTTGCCGTTCTCTCGGGCAAGAATTGAATCCCCGGTATAGTTCGCCTCCATAGTTCCATCACTCGCCTTTGTGCAGCGTTCCTTCTCACCTCTTGTTCTTGATTCCTATATCGCGTCTGTCCATTCTCCTCACCCGTGTCTCGTCTTCCCTTCCCCGTAAGAGGTGCTGAGTAAGTCGCGCGAGATGGCATTTTTCATTACACACTTTGAACGTATTGTGTTTTAAGTGCGCGCAACACCCCTCATTTCGCGGCAACAAATATCCGCCCGAAAATCCCTAAGTTATAAAATAAAAATATTTCGCGCGCGTTTCGTATTCGTGAATTTCTCTCGAATATAATTCGAGTAAAACAATCAAATTATCCAAAGACGCGCACACAACAATTTGGTGCCTTAATTGGAACAACATAATTTTCGAACGAGCTTTTTTCTACAAGAAGCTATTACCGCCGTAAATTCAAGAAAGTTCTAATACCCCATGCCGATACAAGCTCCGCGAGCGCGCGAACTCTTCCCATCGAACATCCGGATAGCCGGGTATTACATAACGGAAATATCTAAGGGATTACTCTCTGGCATATCTATACGCGTAGAAATTTCTTCAACTACCGGCCTTAAGAAGGCACTCCAAGGCAGCTTAGAAGCCTTCTTACAAGTATACCGGCAAAGAAGAGAGAGGTATAGACATGTGTGTGTGAATATATGTACACACACACACACACACACACTTATACATGTCTGTAGCAATGTGCGGATGTACACTTGCGTACAGCATTGCCGAAGTAGAGCGTCGAGAGGCTTTGATGAACATAATGAACGGCTCAGTGCCGCGAGCACGAGCATTTTCCTTTAAGCTCCGGCTCGAGTGTTGTTCTCGTTTCTGTTTTATAACAGCGGAGAATTCGTAATACGTTCTACGATGGTTGTTTCAGGTAAAGAAGGAGGAGTAAATACGAAGGAGAAGCAACTGTGTAGGAAGGTTTGTTCTGTCAGTTCGACTGCGTAGAAATGTGAGCTGACTTATCACAAAGCAAACAGAAACGACGGATATAATTGAAACAACTTTCAAAAAACCGCAGTTGTATTTTAGGAAACGGATTTTTCACGCGGATCTCGCTTCTTGTCACAATCATTGTTGCAAATCTTACAAACAAATAACTATAAAAAAAAGCTTCTTTTTTAAATTTCAAATATATTTGCATTTCGAAATTTTCTCTGGCAAGAAATAATATAATTGATACTCACAAGTGGTCCTGCCGCTTGAACGCCTTGCTACACATCGTGCACACGTACTTCCTCTCGTCGCTGTGCGTCAGCTTGTGCTTCGTGAGCGCCGATGCGTTGCTGAACACCTTCCCGCAAGTCTGCAACAGAGAAACAGCCCTCGTTGTACCAGCAACGTCGACGAAAATTACGCATCATGTCACGGTGATCACATTTGTGTTGAACCGAACGAGCTATCATCTTTCGCGATAAGATGTTACGAATATCTTATTATATAGCGCTTCATGCATTAATTTCCCGTATGTGATGAACAATTATTAAAATATTATTATTGTTGTTACATATCTTAGAACTTTATCACATCTCAAAAAGCGCCGAATATAATTTTCCTTTCGCCGAATTTATCAGCAACGCGTGTGCGGAAAATCTCACTTAAAAGCCAAGCGACAAATTGGAGCGCGGTATGATTTTCAATTAGCATGCATGAGCCTCGTAAAGCGGAAGTCGCTTTACGACGAACATTAGAACGGCGATAGCAAGTGGCTATCGTGCGGTGCATACACGCGGATCTCTCTCGCGTATTCGCAAGCTCACAGTCACACGTGGCGGTAATTATTATGTCTAGCGTCTCTCTCTCTCTCTCTCGTTGTCGAAGATAATTTTTTCGTAACAAAGTGATGGTCGCGCGTGTTTTTACACAAAAGGACGTCGTGTATGTTAGTAAAAAACATAGTTGGGTCGTTGTCCTAAACTCCGTGAAGAAAACCATTCGTTATTTATTTTATTTCTATGTCTCGTAGAAGTGATCATTTTCGCTTCGAAATATCGAAACGGAGCAGCGAGAACTTTATCTCCCTTAATGCCTTCTGATAAACGAGACTATTATTGCACGTCCTATTAAAGAATAAGGGATCGTCGTATCACGTTCCGTATCTACGTAGAAATTATTCGCGGATTTAGCAGCGACCACATCGCGCTCCGTTGGTTCCGGAGATGGTATGCCTGTTAAGTATGTGGAATTAGGTTTATTATGCGCGCCACACTCCGGGTCGCGTACACTATTTCAGGAACTATTTCAGGAAGCCAAAGGCCGAGGAATTGAGCGTAGCCAGTGTTCCCGCCCGAAAATCCAACGCCTCGTTTCGCGCTGGCGATAAATTCGCCGACGTGGAAAATTGTGCGAATTCCGCGGATTCGGTCCTGTGACAGGAACGATTAACACTTCCTGATAAATTTGCCGTGTTTTCCTCCGACCGCGAGAATCGCCGTCTGCCGATCGGCGGGATGAGACGTTTGTGGGCGCGCGCGCCTCGATCGATCAGTGAAGAAAGAAGTTTGTGATGTAACACGTTCACATTGGAAAAAAGACGCTTGTGGTGCACGACGCGTCTTAAGTGGAAAAATCGCGTGACTGAACTCGTTCTAATGACCTGCGCGAGGAATCTCACGATCAGAGATTCAGAATATCACGTCTCGACGGCATCGGGAATTCGTCGTCACGTCGAAGGATTCGCGGTGCCGGCGACGTGGCATTAAGCCGAAATTAATTTCCAATGCACCTGCGCCCGCCGCCGTCATGCCACGTGACGACGCGGGGAACGTGCGATGGCACGATTCCGGGGTCTCCATTATCGGAAAAGTCTTCCGCTTCTCGTTTCGCTGTTATTTCCATTTGTCGAATGGCAAACAGAAGGTACACGGGTCGCTGATGATTCCGATGACCCGAATAAACCAAACTCGAAGTCGCAAAGAAACATTTTTTCACTGTTCCAAATAAAGAAAGAAATGTGTCTCTTATAATTAGAAAGTCTACACGTTTATTTGCAAAAAAATAATAATAATAATGTATGCTAACCACAATTTCCTTTCGTACGCTGCAGATTAAATTTTTTATTTTTTCTTAAAAAGTTTAGTCTGTAATGAAGAGAAAAATTGTTATCATTTATTATTATTTTATATATACATATATATATATACAAATAATATATATGTACACACAATATTTTTTACTTCACTTAAATCTTAAATCTTCAATATTATAAAAACGTTCGTGAGACTGAACGCAGAGACTGTTTGATAGCAGGTTAAAAACGACTTGTTGACATCCGGAGGAGTACTTCCTGCGGAATCCTCGCAAGCACTCATGCGAAGCGATACTATTTAACGATGGGCCACGGTTGCCATGACGACTCATGTATAGCTTAAACAGTACAGTCTGTCGGCAAACATTTGCTGGGATCTAGCAAACAGGCAACAAATTCCATTTCATGAAGGAACGAGCGTATATAACGAACGTTCTCGACAAAACGAGAAGCACTCTTCAACATGGCGGAAGAAATTTCAGAGCCGTGGATACAAAAAAAAAAAAAAAAAAAAAAAAAACCTAACGCGCTGTTTTCTCGCGAGAGCAAATCCAGATTAAAGGAAGAAAGGTATTAAGACGTTTTCCTGACGCGTTACAGATAATATTGACCGAAGACGGAGGGAAGCAAGAGATAAAAGGAGGGTAGGGAAAAAGATAAGAGAAAGTGATGCAAATGCGAAGATTTGGGGCATATAAAGGATGACGGTCGAGGATATTTGCGGAAAGGGAAGGTTCTCGCACGATCTCTCGGAGATGAAGGGGGAAGAAGAAAGACCAAGGGAAAGGGGAGGAGTCGTACTTCTGGCTCCTAAGCAGAAAATCTAATTTGCGTAGCTTAACTCTTAAGGAGCTCCAGATGCACGGACGCCAACACATGGGAGAGTTTCAATTTACGAAACGAGGACCAAAGAGAAAGATGAGAGAAACGACTGGAGTGACGACGAGGAGAAACGATTAGATATAGACCGAGAAAAGAGTGAGAAAGAGACGAAAGAGAGAGAAAGAGAAGGACGCGAAGCCGTGGCAAGAAGGTGGTAAGAGAGACGAAGTTTCATAGAAAAACGATGCTGCGAAGAGAGATAGATACGAGGAGAGATCGTCCAACGACGATGGTCTTTCGCATCCCCTCACTCATCATCCTCGTGCCAAAACCCGTATTCTCCACCCCCTAACGCGGTCTCTCTCCTTGAGAGCTAAACAAATATCATTACTCCTGGCCTTTCGGCTACCGCTTCCTTTGCCAACTCAGCCTCCTTCTCCTCTTCTTGTACCTCGCCCTGCCTGCTCCTCCGGCCGCACCACGTCTGCACACGACGGTTTCCGGCCGTCTCCACTTGGCTCGCGAATGTAGTGCCCGTACCCACGGCCAATGTACACCGACCAACACTGAGGCCTGAATACATAATCTCGCGGGTGGTAACATTGATACTTCGTTAAGAGGGAAGACGAGAAGCGCGTGCGCGCGGGAAATGAAAGGGAGACACTTGGAAGACCCGAGCTTCTCGATGGTCGGGGAGGCCAACCGACAATTCGTGGTTTAAGTCGGCCCCATCGATCGGCTTAACGGTCGCTCACGTTCCGTTCAACCACGTTCGCCGCGTTTCCAGTCGGAGATGAGGTACTAGGAGAGTGAGGAATCGGACGTGAAATCGTGCATGGCGCAGATACTACGGATATTCTATTCTGAAGTTTCGAGGGAGTTACGGCTCTCGAGAACGCTTTCATCGAGAGCGGATGTTCCATTTTATCTCTCTTTCTTTCTGTTTGCAGGACGCGACTTGAAGAAACAAAAGAGTGTACATCTGATTGTTAATATTCGAAAATAACAATACAATAGTGATCTATCCGCGAACATTGACACCTAGCGAAAAGAGAAAAGTCGGTTGGGAAAAAGAAGAGAATACTTCGTTACATTCGAAGCTCGCTAAAAAGAACCGCTGGCCGAGTGGGTAAGACGCGTCTGCGGCTTCATCTGGTTAACGTTTGTTCTGACTAACCACGTTCGCGTCCCTTCTCGAGTTTTTTTTCGAGCTCAGCGCGGGCTGGAAGTGGTGGCGTAACCCCGCGGGAACGAGACCGCAGGGCGAATGCAATTTGTCGCTTCCGGGCAGGCGAATCTTTTAAAGAAGCGCATCTTATTACCAGCAGCCGGTAAGGAGACGAGAAACTCGCGCTTCCGTAAATAATGAGGAAGGCAGAATCTCCGCGAAGAAGAAAGACCTCGGTGTGCCATCGTCTCTTGCTGCTGCTGCTGCTGTTGCTGCTGCAAAGACACAAAGGTCCGCCGCCATGATGGCGCGAGAGAATATTATTCTCGTTTGAGAGTTAGGAACAAGCGAGTAATGCACGAACGGACTACGCCGCTGCTAGGGAAAAGGGCGATGAATGGAATGCAGGAAATCGCGTTACCGCTCGAGATTTCCATTGTGTTGCAAAGGACGAGCACGTACAGAGTCGTTCGTTTACTGGCAACTTCTCCCCGCGAAAGGCAAATAACAAGAACAGCATAAGTCGAATACTTCTCTGGCGAAACATCCGCCAAAAGGATATTATGAGCGTTGTGTGCAATCAGACCGAGAAGATGCTTAAATCTAATAAGAAATCAGTGTCTGTACTTTATTTAAATGCTAGTATATATATATGCGTGTGTGTGTGTGTGTGTAAAAAATATATAACCACAACATTTAATATAAATGTTAAAAATATAGATTAGTATAAAATGTGAAAAATCTCGATTATCTCAATCGGCGCAAAATTAGACGCGTATTTCGCCCTTGACATAATACTACTTTGACACTATGCAACCACTATATATATATATATTGCATTCACAAGATGGACTAATTTGCTCGCACGTTGCATGCAAGTTCGTGACGCGCGCAAGTAGTAGTGAATAATTTTCGTCGAACGCGCACTCGCGCAACGGAGCCTATTCTCTTTGTCGCGACTCAAGAGATATACGGTTAGAACGGAGAATGTAGTAACGGAGTGGCAAAGGGATAGAATCGACGACAAGAGCAACGGACTAGGACGGAAACTAATGACTACGTAGCGGGGCAAAGCTGCGCGTAGATCCAGCAACAACTTGGGCTGAAGTCGGCTTAATTAACAGCTCGTGTCACCCACGAATGTTGGGAAGTACATTGGAATAACGGTCACGTGTGTCAGAATGGCACATGCACACACGTGTACGTATGGATTTCGGGAATTGCGTTGACCCATTTTCACCGGAATTCGAATCCAAAAATATGTCGCTCATCGCAATCACGAACAATC